ATGATTTATATTCACTATTCAGAGCATGGTTGAGGTCAGACACATTGTTGTTGGCCAACCTGCCCATGTTTGGATCTTCACATCATCATTTTATTCTGCTTTGTTTGATCAGAAATCAAAGAAAATTAACGCTGAAAGTTCAATGTTTGATAATGCATGTTAGTAAATGTGCACATTACCAGAAAAAGAATACGGGCCAGACATGCTCATGATTTGCGCTCTGTGAACTTTTCAAATGACGGCTATGATCCCGAGCTTTACCAGTGTCCTGTGGAGAGATGCTTCTTCATGTCACTTCATTCATAGCAGATGGCAGCTTAGCCTTGTTGTGTTTCCCACGAGCTGTTTGCAGAAACACAAAATGGCTCACAGCTGCCTCGCTGAGACGATGTTTTAAGTGGCTGTTTGGGGTTGCACAAATTCAAAATCAGAACACATAAGCTGTCTTTTTTTTTTTTTTTTAAATAAATTGCTGTAAGCTTGAATTCTAAGATGCCAACACATCTTGAAAACAGAGCTCTAACAAGTCTCTGTGGCCTGGAACGCGTCTCAGGCTAAATACTTATAATTTTAAACAGACGCGCGATATGTCATTAATATTCTGTAGTCTGCAAGCGGTCAGGGCTCGGACAGATACTCCAGATTCCAGGCCTTTCTTTCGCTGGCGGGTTGGACTCACTGAGTGCATAAATTCATGAATAATTCTCTTATTGCAGCTGCCTTTCACAGCTGTTGGGCAGCACGAGCGAGAGAATCCATCCAATGTGAAACTACCTCAAGAAGATATCTGAGGGGAGAATTTGCACGCTGTGTTTGGATTTTACTTTGTTTTAGTCACTTTTCCTTCCCTCTTTGCACTTTCATCAGTATTCCTAAAAAGCTCCCTTTTTCTTTTTCCGTTCCCTCTCCCTCTGTCGGATGTCACGCTCCTTCTCTCGTTCTACAGTATCACAGAGGATAATAAGTCTGTGGTGCTTTGATGGGGCTGTTATCATGCAGTCTGTCTTCTTGTGACACTGAGCTGGAGCACAGCTGAATGATTCAGGGTCAGCGGACGGCAGCTCTGCCTCCTGGCCTCGCCTCAGGCGCTGTGTTTCCAAAAACTTGGATGTTTGCATCACAAGGACAGAAATGAAAATGACTCTGAAAACATGTTCACCTTCTTCAAATTCAGAGTGAGGGCGCTGCACATGGAAGGGTGGCCGAGCAGTTTGGGGTTCGGCTGTGCTCAGGAAGTGACCTGGCACCTATTAGGGTTCCAGTCCAATTTCTAGACTTGGTCCGCACTGGAACTTGAACCTGCAACCCTCCCGATCCCAACCCATGTCCCAGCAGACTGTGTGCCTCAGGCAGAGGTTTCCAACTTTTGGTGCGGTTAAAATTAAAAGTTAAAATTGTTGAGTGTACAGTGGTTTCATTGAGGATCTAGGCCATGAAGGATTGTGTCGGTACATTAGGCTGGTCCCACATCGATAAACAACAAGTTAGAGACAGAAGAAAAAGAAAACCTCAAAGACAGTATAATTGAGGATGTAAAAAAGTGATATGTCTGCAAATCAAAATCCAGACGTGATTGTGACAGAGCCATACAGTTTGACTTGGTCGTCTGTGGAGCTGTCAGCTGTGAACACAATGAAGACGCCTCGGTTTTCTTTTTACTTTGTCTCTGTTCTGTTCCAGTCTGAAGTTTGATGACGGATGAATCCGCTGAATAGAAACGTGTTTGATGCTAACGATGTGCCACAGAATTTAGAATTGACTTTATCAATTAGCTGATGATAAGGACGCGTCTGGCTGAATAAACAGACTTCATTGTTAAACTAAGACGTTTTTAATCAGTGTTTGAATGCCTTTAGGAATGCTTCATAACCCAATCAGTGACTCAGCGAGTTAGCTTACTCAGTGTAAGCTAACCAATGCTAATGTTAGCAAGTTCTGCAGTTATAGTAAGAACAACACAAGCAAGCATCTAGAGGAGGAAAAAGTTCAGATCATCACCGTGAAAAAATCCTAAAGAAGGTTGAAAACGGTGCAAAGAATTTTAAATTGGTGTGGTTAAAAAACAAATGTTTCTGAATGACTGTCTGACTTCAGAGGTTTGCATGAATTGACGATTCATGGAACAGAACAGGGAACTAAAGGTAAAACTTTAGATCGGGGGTTCCCAAACTTTTTAGCCTGCGACCCCAAAATAACAGTTGTCCACTTTGACAAAAAAACATGCTTACTTATAGAACTCAATGGATAAGGAAATACCTTATTCTGAGTTTCTTTATTGAACATTCAGATCACCTTAGATCACTCTCTGAATACGTCAAGCAGGATGTCTGACTCAAGTTCCAGTTGATGTTCTTGACACCAAAATCACAAAAGTACATTAGACTATGAAGTAAAGTGGCTTGGAGAAAGTCTGCGTGGAGAGGCTGTTGACCTCAGAGCGGGCAGAACGGGCTTGAATCCATCCTGTGGCTCCTTTCCTGCATGTCATTCCCCAATCCGTCTCTCTATAATTTCCAACTCTATCTGTTTTGTCTCTCTAATAAAACGCTCCAAAACATCTTTTAACGTTCACATATTATAGAAAATTCACTTCCCCATGTTCCTCTAACTGCCTGCTCCACTTTTCAGAAAATGTGTGCTCAAACAGGCTGTTTGGAGATTTTCCCTTCATGACATCATAAAGGGCAGTAGCCCCTCCCCCAGGTAGATGACACTCCCACAGCTAGGTGTTTGTTCTGCCCTCTGAGTCTGCATTCTCACCGTAAACAATAGAACATGGAGTGAGAAAGCAGCGAGACACCCAAGCCCTTCCAGAGAGGGGGACTTGTCTTCCTTTCTGTCCCCTCATCCGGATTTCATTATTCAAATTTCCCCCTGAGGATTCATAAAGTATTTCTGATTCTGATCCATCTAATCACTCCTTTTTCATCCTCATGCGTCATTTCTTCCTCTCTTCTCTTTCTCCTCCTCCATCTCCCTGAGCCCTATCATGTGATTCTGGAAAGTATCACAAAGTAGCAGCCAAGCATTTCATACATGTCATGAAGTTACCCCCTCATTCCCTCCCCTCTCTCATTCACAATCTTCTTCATGCATTCCTTTTCCTTTGAGTCGACTCTACACACATTAAAATGTTAAATTCCTCCCTTTTTGTGAAGCCTCAGTAAGCTGTTCTTTCACTACCCTCACTTCAGTCTCACAATCTCAAATCAAAGTTTAAATAAGAAAAAAAGGAAAAAGCTCTTCACAGACTTTAACCTTGAATGAAAGGTAGAATAGAAAAGAATGACACCGTGTCGGAGGGTAGGCGTTCAGTGAATCCCCAACAAACCAACGACGCAGTCAGAAGTTTAAACCCACTGATGCTTTGAAGGTTATTAACTTAATTACATGTGTGACTGTGTTTAGTGCCCAGTGAGGTCACTTGTTTATATGGAAAGTGCTTTTTTATTGTCGTTCATGCGACCTCCGTTAGAGATGAAACTCGATTCAAGTCAGGAAAGATTAACATGACATCATCAAAAGTGATTTTTGTTTGAGTCTGCCGCCTAAGGATGCCCAATCCTGCAGAAGCACTGTGCTGCAAAAGCATAAATGCAGCAGCGCCCCCTGTAGACGAAGTACGTCTCATTTCAATTCTTGTAATCCCTGCAGGGCGTGTGTCCACTGACGGCCCTTTTTTGTGCTGGCCCCGCCCACTTTGGCTCATTGTTTTTAGCGCTCAGCGAGTCCTCGGCGTCAGGTGTTTTATTTTGCAGTGCTCGCTGTGCTCTGAGTTGAAAGCAGTTCAACATTCAGGGCGGTGCCTCAATGTCACTTAGACCAACTCACTGACCAATAGCAATCAAGAAGGGGCGGGACTTCTGATATCAGCTTTGTCAACAGCAATGGCGGAGAAGACGCTAGTCTGACTCGTCTTTTCAAATGAACAGGTTCCAGGTGTAGAGCTGCTACTGATGTCAGGACGGATTCATTAACATTGTTCTGGTGTTTTCTCACTGAAATGTCCCTTTAATAAAAGTCAATATAAATCACACAGCCATTAAAAACACACCAAGGGAAGTGGAGGGTAACCTAGCAACAATAAGCGCTGTTGAGAAGCGCTCTGAAATTGAGGTCATGAGCGCCGGCAGCAGAAGAAACATGCCCTTCCATTGTAGTCACATCTGTGGTGCCTTGCAGCTCCATACTTCAAACTGTGGTCAAATTGAGTTGCAGAGCTGCAGGCTTCTCGAGAGCCATTTGATTTAATAACTTCAGTTTTTTTTAATGTTGTTGTGGTCGAGGAGAATAGCTAAATGAAACGCTAACTCTTTCAGAAGAGAACACAAGCTTCCTGTGGGAGTAAATAAAATAAAAGAGCCGATGTGCACGAGAGAAGTGCAACCAAGATGTTTTTGATGTCCACAAAAGTAATCTTCCTCAATCGGACAACGGTGACTTTGTTTCCTGGATCGAGTTACTGAAGTTTATGCAGGACTGAAAATGTGAACTTCTTCCTGTAACTATGACGATCTGCAGCCTGCACGAGCTGTCACCTCACAACAACAACAGCTCAGAGCTTTGAACGACATCTGCTTAAGAGTTGCATTATTTATGGCCTTCTTCTCAATCTCTCTCTCTCTCTCTCCCTGTCTGTCTCTCTCTCTCTGTCTCTCTCTCTCGCTCTCCCTTTCAATCTCTCTCTCTCTCTCTCCCTGTCTGTCTGTCTGTCTCTCTCTGTCTCTCTCTCACTCTCCCTTTCAATCTCTCTCTCTCTCTTCATATCTGTCTCTCTCTCTCTTTCTCCCCCTCTCTCTCTCTCTCTGTCTCTCTCTCTCGCTCTCCCTTTCAATCTCTCTCTCTCTGTCTCTCTCTCTGTCTCTCTCTCTGTCTCTCTCTCTATCTATTTATCTCTCTCTCTGTCTCTCTCTCTCTCTCTCTCCCTTTCAATCTCTCTCTCTCTCTCTCTCTCCCTTTCTATCTCTCTCTCCCTTTCTCTCTCTCTCGCTCTCTCTCAGTGGGATCCCGGGGAAGAAGTGTGGAGTCATTATCTTTGCTGCGGAGGAGCTCAGTAACTGCAGGGTCAGTACACACACACACACACACACACACACACACACACACACACAACCAGACATGCAAACAATATAGGTTTTGCTATTTGTTGTTTTTCGGGAAGAATTTTGTTGATGGCACACAGTCCATAAAAGCTCCATATTTATGAACATTTGCATGAACAAATAGTCATACTCGCTGTTTTGAATCGCTACAAACCACTCCTAAACTCACCTGCTGCGATGTCATTGGCTGGAGGAAACACACCAGCTCCCCGCCCAGAAACGTCCCAAGATGACCAAAACAAACCAGACCATAAAGATCCAGTGAGAGGACAGAGTCTCTGCAGACACACAGTCACCACCACACATGTACGGAGGCCCAGAAGGAACGATGGAGCTACTTTACTATAAGTCTATATTTTATCTTTCGATGGGTTTAAATTGAGTTTCAAGTTTTCCAGACATGAATCTAGGTGACTTTTCTCCTCTTGTATCGCCATTCCCCCTGCCACAATAATATGTAAACGCCAACCTGGCAGTCAGATACTAACAGAACTTCCTTTGCTTGTGATTGTGTGTGTGTGTGTGTGTGTGTGTGCGTGTGTGTTTGTGTGAATGTGTGAGTGTGTGAGGTTGTCGGCTCCAGAGAGCAAAACATGAACACGCTTATCTCTGTTGTGTTTGCCATCGTTACTCTGGGAGGTTTTTCCTCTTGACAAGTACCAAATGCTCTTAAGATATTTTGATAGGTGTGTTGGGTGTGTGTGTCAGTGTGTGTGTGTGTGTGTGTGTGTGTAGGTTGACAACCTCTATCAGTCAATAACAAGATTAGGATTCCCATGATTCCTTCCTACTGGAGGCGCTGACTAAAAGGCCTCATTAGGGGCAATTTGTCTATCTATCCATCCCTCCTTATATCCATCCAGGCATGTCAACACCGGAGCAGGAATCACATCGTTAACTGCTGAAACACTTCATTCATATGTATGAAGCCGTTCCCTCTTCCTCTCTGCCCGTATTAAAATCACTTTCTCCCATGCGTAATGTCTATCATTTAAATAAAATACTCGCTGTAATCAATGGATGCGTCGCTCATTACGTTGTTCCGATTCCTGTAGAGTCTGATCCACGTTTACATTGAATTTTAAAAACCACCTTCATTTCCAAAACGAGTCCCAGTTGTTCTGCAGAAACATTAGTACACGAGTTACTGACATGGACATGAAGTTGCATCACAATGTTTGTATCGATGTCTCTCCTCTCTCTCTCTCTCTCAGGATATCGCCACCATGCAGCTGTGCGCCAACAAGCTGGACAAGAAGGACTTCTTCGGGAAGTCGGACCCCTTCCTGGTTTTCTATCGTAGTAATGAGGATGGAACGTGAGTTGGAGCTCACATGGTGAACTTATATGTTCACTGATAACTTTTACAGCAAACTGTTGTTCCTGGAATTAGAATAAAAATAATCTGAATTTTTCAGATGTGTAGAGATAATGTTCCACTCACGCTAACTTATTGTAATTATACAAGAGTTAGTTTGACCAAGCAATCTGATTGGACAGGAGGTATTCCTTGATTGACAAGATGATATGGGAGAACATCACTGGGACTCTTCACACTGTGTATCACTCCTCCTGAGCCACAAGTTCTGACTACTTTAAATTTGCATTCACAGCTGACTGTTCTCTCTAAATAACACCTGAAGTTAGGGACATTCTCTGACTGGAAGGACATTTTGCTTAAAGTCTTTGTGATTTTTCACACTTAAATGTAACAGAAATCAAGTATATCCTCTGAAAATAACTCTGTGAGTCATGACTGTCTACAATGGGTGTAACACCAGAGTCCCACTGTCTGTGATGTTTTCAGAGTTTTCAGAGTCCTTTCTTCAGTTTGTTTAAATCGCCTGGACGGCCGGCTGACTCCTCCCCTCGCGTATAAAAGTTGTTTAATTGAGGGACTAGAGAAAAGAAGAATAACATACTGTACTCACTGCTTAACTGTGTTTCTAGATCACGCTCATTTCAGGTAAATTTACATGCAGTGTGAAGATACGAGCATAATAAAGATCGCTAGCATTAGCATGCTAACACAACAATGCAGCGCAAGTTGTTTTGGTTTCATGCTGGTGCTCAAGGGCAACATCTGCTGGATCAAAAAATCGCATATAAAGCCTTTAAAGATTTGATATGTTTGACAAAAGTTTTCTCTTTCCATACGTCAAACTGGCAGACAGAGGCACACATTCCGTATAAGAAAAGAAACAAATGAATATAATTTATATCAGTGGATGAAGCAGGGGGACATTTTTCTGCTGACAACTTCACCAACGATGCAAGAAGAGAGAAAGAAGAGGTCATGAAGCTCCAGCAACACTTGCAGTATAAAGATCGATGTTATTAACAAATGAGACCGACGCGTTTCAGCTTGTGCCCTTCATCGGGTGACATTTTGACTCTATTTTTCAAATGCAAAAAGAAAAAGATCAACCTGTTCTTTTATATGTTTTCAAATCCCTGTAGATTCAACTTAATTATCAGTTATTTATTTCATTATTTTTTTTTAACCCCAAAAAAAAGACCTGCTGCTCTGTGGTGACTTAGGGACTGCAGAGGGTAGTTATCGCTTCGGGCCATTTTTGAGTGGATCAAATTTCCCTGCACTGCAGCCAGTGTGGATACTGTGGCACCGCTGAGTGGATACCATCTGCAGCAGCTGTGCTCGCACTGGGCGTCCCGATGAGTGTGAAGTGGGATGCTGATAAAAATCAACAACAGATTGCATCACATTGTCACTGAACATCCGTCTGCAGAGCAATGTGTTTGTTTCCTGCTGCAAGTTTTTGATGGGTAGAGCGATCATTTGCAATTTTTTTTTTTATCATCTGATTTTCCCGTTTTTTCTTCTACATATCACTTTTTTGGGGGGTGGGGGGGGGGAATGATATGAAACCACACTTTGAAGGCTTATCTCAGAGTTTAACATTCTAACCTTATTTCACTGCTCCGCCTTGAAGAGATCTGTGGCAATAAAAATTGATGTGCAATCCTGCCGTGCCTCCCAGATATACCTGAGCGTTTAGGAAAACCTGTGAAGCATTTTGTAGCATTGCAGAGGAACCTCCAGCTAAGTGACACAGGGTAATATTCACAGGAACAATGTGAGCCATATAAAATGTGCCGTCCCTCTATTAACTTGTGCTCTGTGCTTTTTTTGCCGGCAGGTTCACCATCTGCCACAAGACAGAGGTGATCAAGAACACGCTGAACCCGGTGTGGCAGCCCTTCACCATCCCTGTTAGAGCGCTCTGCAACGGAGACTATGACAGGTCAGGAAACAAATTTGCAAATCTCTGTTGTATGTCCAAAGTGAGAGCAAGTACAATGTCATTGTGCGGTATAGAGAGAGAAGCTGTGTAGACGTTAGACAAAGCTACATGCGTCTCTGCTCCTGGATAAGCGAACACATTTTCTATAATTAAGTGAAGTAGGGGAACAGTTAAGCAGGCTCTTTAGTGGATGACATCACCTGTTGCTGGGGCGGTCAGAATAATGCCAGCAGTCGGTCATGCTGTCCCAGGGACCAGCACTGGTGTTATTGAGACTGACTCAGTGTTAAACAGCATTTTTTTTTTTTAAACACTCAAACACAGGTTGGACTGAGCTGAGTACACGGTGATACCCACTGTGTCTTTTAGTGTACACAACCATCCCCACAACCACCGCCGTACTCATTCATGCACGGCCTGCTCCGACCTCCACCTCAGCCGCAAGGAAGTGTGGACAAAAGGAAGGCGAGGAATACAAAGAAGTAATCCTTCCTGCATCTTATCCCATACATGTATGCTCTTTTGTAATGCGTCTCGAGATGACACTTGTTGGTCTGAATAACAGACCTTCACCTGATGACCTGAGAGCCCTGGTAGGGTTGTAGTGTGTGAGCAGGTCAGAAATATACTTGGGAGCAGAACCATTGAGTGCTTTATGGACTAATAAAAGGATTGAACCAAGTTAAACCAAAGCAATCGCCCAAAATGTGCATTTTTTGCAACGACAGTAGGAAACCTCCCCCCATCTGACAGCACTCACTTTCTTTCCCTGCTAAACGTTTCATGCATTATTGCTGTGAAGATCAAAGTTTGACAATGAAGTTAACATATAACAATGAAGAGGAATTATCGGTCTATAGGAGAGAAAAAAGGAGAGAAAAAGAGAAACAGGAAAAGAGAGGAAGAGGAGTAATCATTGTGAGACTCCAGACATGATGGTGAAGGACGCTGGTTGGAGGGCCCCCCCAATTAATTTTTGCCTGACAGACTCTAAAATCGCCGCTGGTCATATACTTTAGTTAGCATGCAGAGAGCATGTACAGAAATATTTCCAGTCTACGGTTCACACAGAAATTTTTTCTCTTAGGGTACAAATCAACGTCCAAGTTTTCTATTTCTTACCTGCAAGTTCTTGTCACAGTTACTGAAAGTGTTGAAGTTTGCTGTGGGGTGGCTGTGGCTCAGTGGTAGAGTTGGTCGTCTCAGGTTGAAGGTTTGTTCCCCAGCTCCTGCAGACACACGTTGAAAAAGTCCTCGGGCAAGACACTGGACCTCAAATTGCTCCTGAGGGGATAAAGCCAGCAGTGTGTGAATGAGATAAGATAATACTGATGGACACTTTACACATCAGCATGGCATTTACAAGTTTGTTTAAAAATGCTCAGAAGACTACAAAAGCGTGACACAAGTTCAGGTCTGTTCACCAGTTACTTAAACTTTTTTTTTTTAATTGCCGACAGTAAAAGACCGCAGAATAATTTTCTATTAAAGACAGAAAATAATAGCTTTTGGGTTTTTCTCTAAGAAGCACGATTGCAAATCCCCCCACTATCTATGCTAATGACTTTGCATAAACCTAGCTATGACATTTAAACCAAATGAAGATTCATGTAGCCCAAACAACAAATACAATATACATCCTGTTGCTGCTGCATTAGAGATGAAAATGCTCATGTTCCTATTTTTCTCTCTAACTCTTGAGTTATAATGAGATTCACAGTCTGGTAACCATCCGAGCATGCATCATGGAGCTCGTAAATTCAGAGTTCATAATATCGCCCCGTACCTGCTGCGCAAATAATCCTCTTCAGAGCGACTCTATTGTATCAGTGAATGTGCAATTACTCTGCTCCCAGTGTGATGGAGTGGAAAGATTTTTTTTTTTTTTTTTTTGGATAAATGAAATAGAACTTCAAGGTCTTGTTGAAATTGAAGAGGGTTGTTCTTGTATTTAAAAAAAAAAAAAAAAGAAGTAAATCTCTGTAATAAGATGTCCTTGTCTGTTGCAGGACGGTGAAGGTGGACGTCTATGACTGGGATCGAGATGGAAGGTACGAGGATCTCACTTTCACCAGTTTCACACATCGATGTTTCACATTTCAGAAGGATGTTAAATGTGCACTCTGTGGAGAATGACTTGGAAGAGTTTGAATGTGCCAGAAAACAACTCGATATGCAGCGAGAGGGGAGAGAGAGAGAGAGAGAGAGAGAGAGAGAGAGAGAGAGAGCTCTGGCAGGAAAAACAAAGATAGAGAAAGTGATGTGGAAAGAAAAAACAGTCAGAGACGTGACCATTCATCTCAGATTATAAAACGTGTGTTTCACTACCTGCTCCTCTCCTCTGCGGGGGCGTTGTGTGTCTGCAGCCATGACTTCATCGGCGAGTTCACCACCAGCTACAGAGAGCTGTCTCGGGGGCAGAACCAGTTCAACGTGTACGAGGTGAGCCATGACACCGGGGGCGGTTCTGTTGTTTCTCGCTGCTTCTGTCGTATGAAACATTGTGTAACTCCGTTTTAGGAGATTCTGGATGTTCACCTGCTGGTTTCTCAAAGGCTGAGAAACGTCTAACACGCCTGCAGAGGCTTACACTAACTTACTCTAAGTAATGAAATACAACTGATCGTACATGTGAGAGGGAATGACTGATACTGTAAAGCTGCTGCATTCAAATGTGAATGCACATTACAATTATGACATCATACACAAGGACAGATTAACAAACAGGGACACAGATGTACTAAGAAAAATAATTTCCTATTTTGTTTTTTGTGATTTTGCTACTTTAATTTGACACAGAATAAGAAATATGTTTGTTTAATCAGATTGAATCTAAGCCCAATCTATGGAGCCCCTTAAAGCAGGGGTTCTCAAACTTTTTTGGACCCCCTCATTATCATAACGTTGATAAGCATATATTAATAATATGTAATAATGTACTATGTTGGACTTTGCAACTATAGAATTAGGCTACATTTATTATTTTCAAGTAATTCATTTTATAAACTTTGAGAAAATGTTGGCTCCGAGGTGTTTTTTGGTTTTGAGTTTTTTTTTTTTTTTTATCGTTGCGCAATATGACGTGACAGAAATGTCACGATCATATCAGAATTGATCTAATGGCACAAAACTAAAGTGGGCGGGGAGTATTGGACAAAATAGCGGATTATATTGGTGCAAGAGGTCCCAGTTTGTAGATATGCTTTTTCAATGATATAGCACACTTTTACAATTGTTTATAAACTATTATACTACTACTATACCCCCAAGCTATGGTTCGCGGACCCCACTTTGAGAATCACTGCCTTAAAGGACATGGGTAGAACAAAAACGTTTTTTAAGAGTGCACAGAAAACTTTGTTGTGAGCACGAGACAGTTCCTCTTAATGACGAGAAGGTATTATGTACTTATGTGAAAGATTCTTGGAGTCACTATAAAGTTTGCACCAGAGAGTTTCTGCCACTCTACCTATAGGATGAGCTTAATGACCTTTAGCCTGAGATTTCACAGTTTCATGTGCACAAGCTGTCTCGTAAGAACGGAAAAAACCTTCTTGTGAGGACAAAATATGCTAGCTGTTAGAAAGCAAAACTGTACCCTGGGCATGCAAACCCCTTTTTGTGAGGATGCAAAACATTCTTGGGAGAATGCAATGAGGTCATGAGTGCATTTAAAACCTTGGGAAACTCATGACGTTCTTGTGAGCATGTAAATCCTCATCTTGAGCTCAAAAAACTTTCTTTTGAGGACGCACAAATTTCTCACGACAATGTAAAACCTTCTTTTGAGGACCAAAATTGTCATTGTTAGAATGCAAAACTGTCTCGTGAGCAATCGAAACCCTTTTTGTGAGGACGGAAAAACCTTCTTCTAAGCATGTAAAGCCAGTTTGTAGTCAAGAAAAACCTTCATGTGAGGACGCAATACTGTCTTGTGAGCATTAAAAACCTTCTTGAGAAACTCAAAATGTTCTTGTGAGTGTACTTAAATCCTTATCGTGAGCTCAAAAAAACATTCCTGTGAGCACAAGACATTTCCTTGTGAACATAGTTTTAGTCCTTTAATTTCTGGTGCAAACACAAACATAGCTTTTTAGTCCGTGTCCCTTAAGAGACTTTTTTTGTCGTCAAAAGGTGTAAAACTTGACTGCTTGAAAGGATGCCATTCAAGTTTTATAGATGCACTGAAATAGGATTCTCCCTTTCGTCCTTGTATGGTCCGGTTTTCTGAATTTAGAAGTTTATATTCAAACGTTGTTGTGTTTGTGAGCTTGATGTTTTGAGCAGGTTTTTTGAGCCTCAGTGAAGCTACAATGAGAATGTGCATGTGTGTTTAAAGTTTACTGTCAAGTTCACAGGTCGACCAATAATGTGTAAATCTAAAAAAAAGTTCACCTACACAATGTAATTTAAAGTACGTTCAATTTTAAATTATTATCTCCAGGGAGAAGCAATTAATAATCCTTTTTCCAGAAATCATCAAAGTCTCCTAATAATCATCTTTTCTAAAAGAGAGGGGAATGTTTAATTATCAGTTTGGTAATGACAGTGGATGGACAGACGGATGGATGAATAGTTTAATCTCTTAACCTCTCAGATTCCATTTTTTATCCTCTCTGTCGTCTTTGTTCACACAGTTAAACATCATATCAGTCTCAATTCATGGAGAGGGCAGAACTATCAGGAATGTGCTGAATTATTCATGTTCATTATTAAACATCATTTCAGGGTATGAAGTGGTTTAACAAGAGCGCTCTCAGTGCCTAACTTACTTTCCCCCCCTCCCCCCTCCCGATCACCGGCAGGTTTTAAATCCAAAGAAGAAAGGCAAGAAGAAGAAATATGTAAATTCTGGAACTGTGAGTACACCCACCTCTGCAATGTCATTGCTTATGTGATATATTTATTTTATATATGAAGGTATCGTCACCTCTTACATCTGCTTCTCTCTCACCGACTCCTTTGCCGGCTGGCCACCTGCTTGTCTTTTTCCTTCTCATCTACCTGGCCCTGGTCCTTTTTATTTTCTCACTCTCCTCTTCTGTTTATCACTCTGGATGTGTGTGTTTGTGTGTGTTCTGTTTGCCAGGTAACTCTGCTGTCCTTCAAAGTGGAGTCCGAGTATACCTTTGTGGATTTCATCCGAGGAGGGTGAGTGGAATAATAATGAGCCTGCCCTCAGAGTCAGTGTCAACAGCCTCCATTTTGGTTGTTTGTCTCTTTGTGTGTGTGTGTGTGTGTGTGTGTGTGTGTGTGTGTGTGTGTGTGTGTGTGTTGTTGTGTTTGTGTGTCGATGTATCTGAAGATACTAGATTGAATTTCCACTTTTTTCTGCACAACACAGAATTCTTATGAGCAACGTTTAGCAGGAGGTTTTGCATGGGCAATCGTATTTGTTGATAGCTCATTTATTCAGTTTATTCACGTTTCATTACTGACTCCATTTGTTTGTCTAATTAAACCTTCAAGATGTTGGAGGGAGCAATGCACTGCCATGCTAATTAGACCAGTAAACAGATTTTCTTGAAGTTCATTGTGTGTGTGGGTGTGTGTGTTGGAGATACAGTAAAGTGAAGTTTGTGATCTTTGTTGTTTTCCTCTTGGTTTCCAATCTGCTGTGCAACAGAACACAACTGAACTTCACTGTTGCTATCGACTTCACAGCCTCTAATGGTAAGTCATTTTGCACATATTGCAGTTTTCACATATATTTCAGGAGGGCGGCCCCCTGAAATCCTCCTGATCTGGTTGTTCACACATGCACCTCACAGCTGGGGGAATCTTCCTGGTCAGACAGGAGGGGTGGGCGGGGTTCTCCAGAGGCAAGACGGACAATAATATCATGAGAATGTTTGCCTTTATATCAATGCTTTGTGCAGTTTGACAGAATCACAATATCAATAAAAAAGCGGAGAAGAACAAACTGGAGAACAGAAAACATACTAGAGAAGTTGAATTGCAAACAGTGTACAGCCGTGCACCGATCACAATAAATGAGGTTATTTATCCGATTGAATATTGTTTGGAAAATTGGAGTGTTGCATTTAAAAACATGACCAGGGTATGATATATGTATTGCTGTATTTTCATATTTTTCCTCAAAGATTTAAATTGACTCTAGCGTTAGTTTTGCATCGTCTAGGAGAGTGTTTACTTTCACAACATTAAACTTCAGTGTGAGAAGCACTTTCAAGGTCCTTCCCCCTCTGTGTGGTGTTACATGACCTTTTGTCCCATTCCATGACAGTAACACTTGGCACCTGGCAGCGGTCTCGAATAGATTGTTACGCCAGGCTCTTATTTTGACATGTTGAAAAGCGCAGTGGAGCGTGCAAGGCAAGAAGGGCGTGGTGAATGTGTTTTTTGTATTTCCATGGCCAGAGGAGAGTACACCTGAGGCACAGTTGGAAAGCTTGATGGGATTAGGATGAATACATTACCAGTGGGTGAGTTAGGAGCAGGCAGCCATTGGGGATAATTGAATTAGCCCCCTCCTGTCGTTTCCTTTAAAGCAGGGCACTTTAGTTCATACTGAAGGAGAGAGTGAAGAGATGCTCCTTTCAAAGGGAGAGTCAGGACTATGTTTACATGTCTCTATTATTAATAATAATCTTGTAAAACCTCTCAAATGTTTCACTGATGACTCACTGCACTTAGACCAGAGATGATAAAAAAGACATATTATCATTGTGTTGTATGTGTCTGCATCCAAGGTAACCCCTCTCAGCCCACCTCCCTCCACTATATGAGCCCCTACCAGATGAATGCATATGCCATGGCGCTGAAAGCTGTAGGAGAGATAATCCAGGACTACGACAGTGACAAGCTCTTCCCTGCCTACGGATTCGGAGCTAAGCTGCCCCCTGATGGCAAAATATCCCACGCCTTCCCACTGGTAATACACACACACACACACACACACACACAAACATTAATTCACACATATAGCACACACACTCACAGTCCACCTGCAGCCAGGTGGGGTTTGGTCCAGGAGTAGTTGCTGCGACAGCAGCTGGTCACAGAAGTTGAGAAGTTGGCTCATCTGCCGACCAGCGGGAAGCTCCCAGCATCCTTCACTTCCTCCTCGCTTCCTCCTGAGGGATCAGGGCAACCAGTCAGAAACCACTGGATGCTAAGCTGAAATTAAGCCAACTCTCCCCTTGGGCTGTCCAAATGAATCTATTTTGCTTATATGAAACATCTACGATAATGAAGCCTTACTTTAGAGAGAAAATATAGTTGATTTGAGAAATTAAACGTTCAAAGATTTTAGTTTTATGTTGTGAAGTTAAGACTGAAATTACTCAATGCAATTGATGCAAAAACATGTTTATTTAACTCACTTCATGATTTGATTTAGCATATGGATGGTTGGGTGGATGGATGGACGGATGGATGGTTAGTTGGTTGGTTGGTTGGACGGATGGATGGTTGGATGGATGGTTGGTTGGTTGGTTGGTTCGACGGATGGATGGTTGGATGGATGGTTGGTTGGTTGGTTGGTTGGACGGATGGTTGGGAAGATGGATGGTTGGCTGAGTGGATGGATGGATGGATGGATGGATGGTTGGTTGGCTGGGTGGATGGATGGTTGGATGGATAGCTGGTTGGTTGGTTGGACGGATGGTTGGGAAGATGGATGGATGGTTGGCTGGGTGGATGGATGGATGGTTGGTTGGTTGGACGGATGGATGGATGGATGGTTGGTTGGTTGGACGGATGGTTGGGTGGATGGATGGTTGGTTGGTTGGACGGATGGATGGATGGTTGGTTGGTTGGACGGATGGTCGGGAAGATGGATGGTTGGCTGAGTGGATGGATGGATGGTTGGTTGGCTGGTTGGACGGATGGTCGGGAAGATGGATGGTTGGCTGAGTGGATGGATGGATGGATGGATGGATGGATGGCTGGGTGGATGGATGGATGGATGGATGGATGATGGATGGATGGATGGATGGATGATGGATGGTTGGTTAGCTGGATGGATGGATGATGGATGGTTGGTTAGCTGGATGGATGGATGATGGATGGTTGGTTGGACAGATGGATGGATGGACGGTTGGCTGGGTAGATGGATGGATTGATGGCTTGGTGGATGGATTGATGATAAATAGGTGGATGATGGATGGACGGATGGTTGGATGGCTGGATGGATGGTTGGTTGGTTGGGTGGGTGGATGGATGGATGGATGGATGGATGGATGGTTGGTTGGGTGGGTGGATGGATGGATGGATGGATGGATGGATGGTTGGTTGGTTGGTTGGTTGGTTGGATGGATGGATGGATGGATGGTTGGTTGGTTGGTTGGTTGGTTGGTTGGTTGGGTGGGTGGATGGATGGTTGGTTGGGTGGATGGATGGATGGATGGATGGATGGATGGATGGATGGTTGGTTGGTTGGTTGGTTGGTTGGTTGGGTGGGTGGATGGATGGAAGGATAAATAGATGGACGGATAGACGGATGGTTGGGTGGATGGATGATAGATGGATGGATGGATGGTTGGATGGATGGATGGTTGGATGAATGGTCAATCAGATGACAGAAACAGTCCAATGAATGTTGCTGTCAAGTTCAGTTTTTTTTATGTTGTCTCATGTTTTATTTGTGCTTTTCTTGTTTTGTCCTCTTACGACTTACTAACTTATTTCAGTCACTGTGACTCATGAAGTGCAACACAAACTACTTCAGTAACTTTAAAACCTCTTTCATCCTTTTCATCTCTGTCACTGACTGTATTTTCATCTAAACTTCCTGAAGCACAACACTAATGAACTTGCTGCTTAAACTCACCAATTACATTATAAAGTATTGACCAGTATTGCCAACTGCAGAGTTGCAAGCTAACAGACAAATACCCAGATAATGTAAACCCATAAACACACCTTGGCTTTCCTTGGTGTTAACCTTGAATTTATGTGCTGTGTGTTTCAGGCTGGAGAAAATGAGAATGCAAACTGTGTGGGCATTGAAGGAGTTCTGGAGGCGTATTTTCAGAGTCTGAGGACGGTGCAGCTGTATGGACCCACAAACTTTGCTCCAGTTATCAACAAAGTGGCCAAGTAAGTGTCACCAATGGCACCAATTTGTAGTCTTCCAATCCATTCCATACTGCTGAATTAAGCACATTTAATCAGGCCTTTCTATAGACGCGATACTCTTGAATGTTAACTCACAAAATATGAAACTGTCGTTTAGCAGAAAGAGATGACAAAGAGATGACAGGTGCTGCACAGCTGAAATTAAACACCTGTAGTTTGTTTTCATCGGAGAAAATCCTCTCATTGCTAACTGGCCATCAAACTGGGTAACTGTGGTCAACCTCCCAGTTGCTGGAGGCGGCAGTTACCCACCTGCAACCTCATGGTAATTTTATGAACCCGGACAGGCTGGAATATGAATCCTGGACGAGGGACTGGAGAAAGGGAAAACATGCAAAGTGAATATTTTAAATTTTTTGGTCTGAACACACTGAAAGACCAACATAAGATGACAGGTTGAAAGGTTAATAATAAGAAGAATTCTGCTTCCATATCATGATTGTGTTGGTTGTTAGACCAGATGAGTGTTTGACATGTTAACCTACAAGTCACATTACTGGATTCATTCTCAGTATTGTTTATCCCTCTCTGTGTTTCACACTCATGTCTCAAGCTGAAGGAGGAAGTAGGTTGCATAGAGGTGAAAATCTGAGAAAGAAAAAAAAACAAGTATCCATGCATCCTCTCATGTGGCTTAAAATATATACTGCAAAGACAAATACACTCCGAGATCAATGTGGTGTTTGGCTGTAAAGGACCCAGGTATAAAGGTCTGTTTGCAATAAACCCATAAACAGGAGGTGAAGGACACACACCTACATGTTGAAACACTCCTCCTAACTCATCCAACGTCATCATCAAAACCTGAGCTCATATTTTCTTAATGTGGATGTTATGTTTTTCTCATGCGGGGAAACAAGGGAATGAAGAGCGGAAGGAAAACAACAAGAATGGTGGTCACATCTCCTCTTCATGAGATGTTTTTCTCTGCTTGTTATTTTATTGAAGGGTCTCTGTGTTGCTCAAGGTCGGAGTTTCAGGTGCAAACAACAAACAACTCTCTGGCATGGAAACAGCATCCTTGAACAAAGAGGTTGCCAAGATGTGTAGGAAGAGATTGATTTTTTAGTGTATGCTGCACCTGAGAGGTGATTAACCCCAGAGACATTTAATGATTGTTTATTATGAATAATACATCCAAATAAGGATGAACATAGTCCAACCTGATTTTTCAGATTTTGCTCATCGTCCACTGATTGTTGAATGTTTGTATTTTTGTGCTCATTTCTTATTCTCATTTGCAAACTAAGAGCATTTGTATAACATGCATTCAACTATTGGTCTCCTAGATTACAAATAGCAAATCATTCAAAGACAGGACTTGATCCATTCCATTTTCTCACTCACTAAATTTTCATTATGGTGACCTTATAATGATATTACTCATGCCCATTTACAATACAGACAGCCCACCCATTTGTGTGTGTTCAGCCACCACAGTAGTCACAATCTATGCATCTGTCAGACCACAAGCAAAGAGACAACAATTTTAAATATCTTTTGACTTACCATTTTTACTGTACTCTCCTGTACTCTCCAAATCCGGTGAAGAATTTGATCTAAACACATCACATCCATAAAGATCCACAGGTTGCTTCAAATTTGCCAATGCTGTATTTTCCAACGCTGTACCGCTGAATGGGATAGATCAAAATGCTGTCCGCACTCTAAACCTTTCATATAACACCTCAATGGCCAATTACAACTTTCCTTTCACTCATCCCAGCCTTCAGTATCCAATGAGAGCCTGAATTGAAAGGAAATGCCTTTCCCCTGTTACGTCCTGACCAATTGCACGCATCTGTGCTGATGGTTGATGTACAGTAACTGTGTGTTTTATATAAATCAAGTTTATGAGATACTGATGAAAATGAGTACATTTCCCATCTAAAAGTAAACATGGTAAGAGTTTTGCAGGACTGCTCTCCAAACTTTTTGCACACATTTGGACCAGTAGCAGCATACTGCTCCAGTGATATCAGTGACACAACAATATGTATGATATGTTTGCTTATTTAAACGTTTGTCCTCATAAGAAGGATGAGCGCTCAGTGAGTTACCCCCTCTGAAAAACACGCACAAAATGCTTCTGCCTTCTGATACCTTCCTAGCCTGACGGCCATCAGCAACCACCTGCACCTAAACAGCATTACCAGCTTCAAGATACCCAGGCTCTGTTCATGCAACTTCCACGTATTGACAACGCTGATACTATATACCCTACCAAATGGTCCCCACAGGTCAACGGTGGAACTTGATAGGCAGGAAGAGCCAACACATCAACGGGGTAAACAAGTACTCCCTTTAACCAGTGGTTGGTCAAGTTAGGCTCAAACAGTTAGCTCATGCGGGTTAGGGTTAGAGCCGCCTCCCCCCTCCATGCTAGCTCTCAGCTCTCATAATATCCACCAAGCAGACCCTCTTTGTGCGATTGCATTCTTATGCATAACGGCAAGAAACAAAACTATTCCTGGCACCATGAAAGAGAAGGCAAAAACAGAGTCTGTAGAAAGATGTAAGGAACAAAAGGAGGGAGGTAGCATCTGGAAATGTAATCTAGTTCAGTTTGCATGTTCATCTGAGGATGCTCAGTTTAAACATGTTTTGGATGGGTGAATTATACTGTTAGATGGAATTATACATGAAAGCAACATCTAATAATGGCAGTGTTAGCTTTTATGCGGCTTCTTGGTGGGGTACCAGCACAGCGTGAGCTCCATACAAAAGTAAAGAGGTTTGTATGTTTCGTCAGGGAGAGAGAAAAATGAATGTTTTTGAGGTCATGGAAGTGACTCGGTGTGACAGCATCATTTTTTTGAAGCTCAAAGGGTTATAACAAAAAGCTTCTCTATGTTACGCTGTCAACATTTGATTCAGCTGTGTGTAGAAGCCATAGCAGACTTTGGGGATAACAAGGTAGGACTCCAACAGACAGGTGCGTTTCATGTCTTTGTTTGCAGTGTGTTATTTAGGTTCACAGGCAGAATGCTAGCTCTGACCTGGGTTCATTTATGTGTGTGTGTATGTGTGTGTTTGTGTGTGTATCTGTGTGTGTTTGTGCATGTTCCACAGCTGTGCAGCAGAGATTACGGACGGCTCTCAGTACTTTGTCCTGCTGATGATCACAGATGGAGTGATATCTGACATGGTCCAGACCAAAGAGGCTGTGGTCAATGTGAGTAAACAAACACGCTGACAACACAAACACAAACACAAAATACACACAAACACACACACACACACAAAGACTGATTGATAGCTCTGCTTTTCCCTCACTTTCTGCGGCTGCTCGTGTTCATCTCAGCACCTCGTTTTCTTTGTTGCGTGGGTGTCTAAAGCTCCATTATATTTCTCTGATGTTTGGATGAAAACAGCTCGGCTTGTCTCGGCAATCATCCGCCTGTGATGAGTAATGCATCAGAAGTAAAAGTAGAAATACAGAAATAACGCTCAAAACTTCTCTTCAAGATCAATATGAGGAAGAGGACAGATATTTTAGTCCTCAGTGGGACTTATCTGAGGTTTGTGAAGAGGTCAACTGATGTTTCAATAACCTGTTAAATGAGTGTCTGATGCTTTTGATTGTTTTTGATCAAATCAAAATCAAAGCAGCTCATTTGAATGTTTCTCCCTTCTTAGTATCTAACAGCCATCTGTTAGCTGTACCATTTATCCTTGAACTATGAAACCGGGCTCGAGCCAGTCCTAGAAGATAATCAGCAAGAAGAAAGAATCCCCCTCTAAGTCACAAGTTAAGCCTGGTTCATACTTTTACTGTTTCAAATCTACAGCTACCCCGCAGTGGCCTACGTCATTATGAGTACTGCATACTTGTGCTCTGCATACTTTCTGCAATACTCCGCTTACAAACGCTAGTTGGCAAATTTGCTTTAAATCGCCAGTTTAAGGTTCTGCCACAAAGCTGGTTTACAGGAAACCATGACGACTGAAACCGAGCTTATTATGTCGGAGTTGGAGATGATAAATATGGAGCCTGAAGCTTCCTCTGGTACGACCAGCCCCGGTGCTGGGCGGGACACATTTATCTTATAGTCATGATAGACACAGTAGGTATCCTGATGTTTTACTGTGCAAGCCAGGAGAGGAGACATATGTCGTCCAATCACATGGCTTGCAGGCTGCGTCTTTTTGAGACGGAGTTAAATTTTTGAGGAGGTGCACTTCAGAGTATGTAGGCTTCTGCATACTGTAGGTACAGGGCTGCATGAATCTACATAGACTACATTATAGATTTGATGCAGAAGTTATCGGCCTTGTTCAGACTGCAAGACCTAGAATGACTGATGGCATATTCATATTATACACACATTGGCTTTAGATTGAAGTCTGGAAGGTATAAATACAACTATATCCAAGACATTTTTTGTTTTTTTAAGATTTATTTTTGGGCATTTTGGGCTTTTAATGGAGAGATATGATAGTGGATAGAGTCAGAAATCAGGGAGAGAGAGAGAGAGTGGGTAATGACATGCGGGAAAGGAGCCACAGGTGGGATTTGAACCTGGGCCGCCCGCTTTGAGGACTATAGCCTCCATACATGGGGCGCGCCCACTAACCACAGCGCCACCAGCGCCACCAAGACTTTTTTTTAAAGCTGATTTGAAATGTGACACTGGAACAACATCAAAACTTTGCTACTTTGATAGCAGTATGGGTTAACTCCTGTGTTGGAGGTGTTCAGTGAGATTTGCGTGGCTGGCGAGATGATTTCACATAACAAGCATCTGATGCCAAGTCACTGGCGTATATTTTAGGGATGCTGACTCTGACGGATGTCTTTGTTTGTCATGTGTGGAAACGTAAATCTGCTCGTATCATTTACAATAGTTAGTGCGGCCATCTGGTTGGAGAAACGAATATGAATTGCCTGCAGTCTGAAGAACACCATAGAGACATTAATGCTCATATCCACAGACAGTTTGGACTCATCAATTAGCATAAACCTTGACTGCAGGTATTTGAGAACGTGAGTGTTCTCTGAGTATCTACGTAAGCAACAGACCCAAAGATGACAGTGCTATAACCACAGCCACACACCTTTAGTTTTTAGGCTGTTGATCCTTTGGCTGTTAGCTGGTAGAACAGGATGTTGAATCAGGTTCACAGCCCAACCTTTCAAAGTAAAAGTAATTACAAGTGTGGATAAGTTTATTTTTGCAAGACAATCTTAGCTATGGCAAAATAACTGAGCTCTCTTGAAATCTTATGTACTGTTTGTCTTGATGCCTCCTCAGGATCTCATGAATCTAGTGAAGTGATTGTTCATAGTTTTTCCGTCTGTGTCCTGTGCAGGCTGCATCACTTCCTCTGTCCATCATTATCGTGGGTGTTGGACCGGCTGAGTTTGATGGTGAGTTTTACACTTTATTTTTGTGTCTATAAAATGAGTTCTTCTTTCAACCTGAGCAAACATGACAGAGAAGAGGGTCACTCTCCTGGGAGCTCCTGAGCTTTTGTAGGTTCCTCTGGATCGTTGGGGATGGCCTGCTGCCATGTACCCCCCCCCCCCCCCCTTTCTGTTTGTCCCTATCCATCTTCCTGCATCTCCCTCTAACCTGGTGCAGTTTTGGCAGCTGGCTGTTCATTATGAGTCTGGTTCTGCCAAAGATTTCTGCCACTTAAAAGGAAGTTTTTCCCTGCCCTGGAACTTTTGCTAAATGTTGTCGTGATGAATTGACGTTGGGTTTTTGTAACATAATGATGAGGAAGGTCTTTGACCTGCTCTTTTGTAAAGTGACTTCAGATAATGTTTGTTATGAAGTGGCGCCAAACAAATAAAGATTGATAGATTGGTTGATGAACACTAGGCTGTCGGCACCCCAACACAAGACAGCCTTTACGGTAATTGCTGAAATCATGCAGGGCCAATGCCTTTTACATAAGATGCAACATGTTTACATCAACAAGCAACACTTTAACTGTCTAATTACAACATGCAGAAGTATTTGTTACATTAGAAAACACAAGATTTAACCATGTCAAAGTTTATTTTAGCCCCAAAATGTCTTTCAGTGAGGAAAGGTATTTTGACAAACTCAATAGTGTTGGTCTTTATCTGAGTTGTTGTCTCCTTACCTTCATTTCTTGGAGAATAAATCCCAATGAATGGCTTAAAGATGACTTATTTGTTAGTAAGCTAATAATTTACCTCAACAGAGATCTAATCTAGGACTTTACTTTCAAACTCCACACTTTGTTTGAGCCAATAACTGAGAGCAGGGGTCCCACAATTTCCCCCCTTATTCCTCCTGCTGATGTTCTGATGCCTCACAGTTATTACAAGCATTCATTGAAGTCGTCTTAAAGTGAAAGGTTTTTTTTTCAAGCAAGGACAAGTGAAGGAGGCGTCTTCAAACAATACAAAGGTAATGCGAGAATGAATACTTTTCCAGCTCCCGTGTGGGAGTCACTTAATTGTGCTCTTTCCGGAAAGTAATGCACACCGACTGACTTTCAAACATTTGAAATGTAATTCAACAAGCTTCACGCTGACACAAAGACAAAAACATGTGATGTTTTATATCAAAAAGCTAGTGCTAGACTCTTTAGTCGCGACTTTCACCTGACTTGATGGAAACCCTTGTGAGTGAAAAGGAAACCATGACAACAGCATAAATGTTCTTTCTATACAACAGAGTGCGGTTCCCCTGCAGACAAGTCAGTGGAGTGACGTCCATTGGTCAATGACTTTTCAGTGTGTGTGTGTGTGTGTGTGTGTGTGTGTGTGTGTGTGTGTGTGTGTGTGTGTGTGTGTGTGTGTGTGTGTGTGTGTGTGTGTTTGTGCAGTCTGATGTCTTAAAGCCTCATCATGGTGGTGGATGGTCCATCATTTTTAGCTTGTTTAAGAAATCCAGTGACTGGATTGGTAGTGAAAGCACTCAGGCATGTCTGGAGGTCACAAGGTCAAACTGAATTGATAGCACCTCAGTGTGTTTTTGTTGGTGTGTGTGTGTGTGTGTACACCTACTGTAATAGCTCGCCATAATTGGCTCTGTTTGTTATTGCTCTGTGTAGAGTCTGTTCACTGTAAGTATGTGAGCATTAATTCTTCATGTCTTAGCTTCCAGTACCTCGCTGTCAGTTCTACTGTTTGTCCTGCAGTTCTAATCCAATATTTCTGTTTCTATTTTTGTCCATCAATGATTTGACCTCAAGTTGTGTTCAGCCAATTTTTCCATGTCCGTCCCCCACATCCGACAGTTCTGTGTCTTTGCCAGAGAGACTACAGATGTACGCTGTTGTTCAGGATGACTCAACATGTCCATCAGAGCAGAACGTAGCCGTAGTTAAATACTATGTTTTTCCTGAACCAAGCTGTGTTCCACCTCAGTACAAACATTATGAAATGATCATCCTCTCTTAATTCCTGATGACAATGTCAGTGGTCCCAGGATTGACCCCCTCCTGCTCTTTGTCTGATTATTTTTTTTTAGCAATGGAGGAGCTGGATGGAGACGAGGTGCGAGTGTCCTCCAGAGGACGTTTTGCTGAGAGGGACATCGTTCAGGTACTCATCATCACTCTATTTAATTTGTGTGTTTCTGTCAACAACAGTAGCAGCAGCAGCATGGGGGAGTTATTCCCATAGGACGATGCTTCCATTCTACGATACTTCACCGGTTGAAACATGAATCTGTATTGACATTGGGTCATATATGTAGTAGAAATGTGAAATAAAATTTGAAGTTGGTGCCTTCTTGAGTGAGAAAAGACAGAAAGTGTCTTTTTGGCTCATGTTGGTGAAAGACAACAACTCCCAGAATGCACAGCAGGTCTTGTGCCTTCTGTTCCTCCATCAGCCGCAACTGCTCGTCGCTATATTGCGGCTCGTAGAGATCGCATAATCATAGAACATCCGATTCGAGCACAAGACCTTCAAAATCCTCTTCATCCATCTCAGTTTGAAGTTGAAACATACTGTCCTCCATTGTCGGTTCTTCTCAGCTTTCTCCACAGAGCCTGTTAGCATAGTTTCCAAGCAAGATGGCGGACGATGATTTTAGATTCTGGGAGTGAGGTCCCACCCATTGATCTGTGATAGGTCTGTAGCTTCAGTGGGTCCCACCCCCATGGGTTGATTGAAAACATGAGGACTAGCGTCTCAGGGGAAAATGAGGGCGGGGTTCACGACCATTCAAAAATACTACCAGGTTTCTAATGATACAAAGCTTAATGCAAATGGGTGAAGTATCCCTTTAAGACATGCTCACCCACACAAAGCCTCTCTAAGTTTTTGGATCTTTCTCACTTCAAAGTGAACCCAGGAAGTCTGCAGGTGTGTTCCTTTTTAAACGTTTGTATTCAAAGAGCGGCGCTACTGTACAGGCTGATAATATTTTAAGAAACTGAACTCACTAACACTAAGAGGTACAAATTTACAGCTCGACACGTTCTTAATGGTCTCAATAAAAAAACTATCTGAACAGAGCAGAGACATTCCCTCTCACCTACTCTGCCCTCGGGGGACGCTTTGTTCATTATCATTTCTCAACTCAACTACAGAGGGCAGCTTTTTCTTTAAAAAGTTTTGCAGTGAGTTTTTTTTGAAGGAGCGAGCTGTAACCCCGGGAGGCGCTGAGGAAAACAGATCTGGCAACGGCAAACAGCAATTTTAGAAACTCTTTTAGAGATACGGCAAACACAAATAGGAAGCAAAATCCCTCCGCTTCTGATAACAATGTTTGTACAGTGTGTTGAAGATGGGCCAGTCAGCAAAAGTAACAATGATAAATGAGTGTTTACAGTGATAAATGTAAAGTGAGCAGAAGCTGAGAGAAGATAGTGTAACTCCAGCAAAGAGGCCGTTGCTTTTATAGCAGATTGATAAATATTCATCCAGGGGTTTAATTGAACGTCTTTGTCTTGCTTTAATCAGTGAACACGTTGTTAACATTTTGCAGGTCGACTTCACAGCAGGTTAAGAACTGAATGATGAACGCTTTTCTGAGTAAAGATGGATTCCTCTTGTGACCGTGTGTACAGTTGTGTTCCTCTCTGTTTGTTTCACTGGCAGCAGTAATCACATTTGCATGCTCGCAGTCCTCCTTTGATTGCCTTTAATCGTATTATGACAATAATGTGATCAGGTTGTTTATACTTGTTGCAGTAGTTTGGTATGTTTATATTTTCCTGGTAATATATAGTGACTGATTGATTATTTTCTCCTGACCTCGACGCGGGTCACATGGTCACATCTTAGACTTTAACTTAAGTCCCATAAACTAATGGACAGTTATTTCTGAATAGTATTTCCCCTGTGTTCAGTGACTTCCTGTCTGTAACAAATTGAAAGTGTTTAAAGCCTTGCATCCTCACATTAGTGGTTTGACCAGTTGGACACCATAGACTGTAAAGAAGACTCTTAATCTGAAAATCCAAAGCAGACGTGCATCAAACCTCCAATATTTCTCATTCTAATAATAAGCTCCTTTCCAACAGGGATTTAAACGTACAATATGAAGAATTTCATGACAATGTTTACATTCAAATATCTAAATTAATTAAAAATTTACTAAACCATGTTATATATATATTTATTTTTTTGAGTACCTGCATTACCTCAAATATTTCCAACAGTTACTGAAGCCATAGAAATCCTTCATTTTATAGTTGTAACGGGACGTGTCTTGTCGCGAAATGTTTATCGTTGCTGTGGAAAGAGAGGATGCTATATTAGGAAGCGGGAGCTGTTACTGAAAGCTGCCGTACTGTTGCTGTATGTGCTGCTGTGTCAATTATACTCGGATACATTAGCTCATTGGTAAACATACTCTATTCCTCAGGTCGGTTTCACCCGTTCGACTTTACTATATTAATGCAGAGTTCGTTTTTGCTGGGGGGGTGGGAGTAGCAGAGGGAACTCCCATGATTCCCCGCTAGCCTCGACGTCATCTTTTGTTATTGTAGTTTTCATTGAGAGCCCCCTGGTGGCGGGATCTTCATATTGTATCTTTAAACCACGAACCTTCTCACTGTGAGGCAACACAGCGCTAACCATTGCACCACCGTGCAGCCCGTGGACTTTTTTTTATTTAACCATAATCCCAATTACTTATCCATCTCAAGTCTGGACACGTGCCCGAGCTCATTTTATTTAGAAGTCATGACAGCACTCTAACTAGGTAAGACATATTAATATTCTAACAACACTACCAACACAGCCTAAATGAAATGGTGTCGTCAGATTATCGTCAGGCCAACGGAGGACAAGGTCAAATTCAAATAGACATGAGAGATTAAATGCAGGTCTCATTCTGCCTCCTTAAGAATGGTAACGTTGGTAGAGTGGGTCGCCCACTAATGAGAAGTTACGCTCCCAACAATGTGAAAGTGTCCTTGGACAGGATACCAAAGCCCAAGTTGTGTGTGTTTGTGTGTGTGTGCGTGTGTGTGTGAATGGGATTAATGGTATGCAGCAGTGTGAAGCACTTCGAGTGTTCAGAAAAACTCTGACGGCTGTTTTAGTGCACTCCATTTAATGTTGAAGAGTAGCGTTGCAAAGGTAGCACTGAATCAACGACCTCTTAAACACGGAGGGAATAAAAACCGAGGTAATAAACCTTGAAGCAGATCTGAGTACACAAACATTAATCACATCCAACCAGAAGAGTTACAACACAAGGTCCTGTCACTTTGTGGGAAATGATGAGGACAACACAAATCGACAGTTTATAGAAGATGACACTGATGTGAGAAAACGGGGTCATAACCACCACAAAGCGTTTCAAAATCCATCCCTTAGGAACTTCAGAAAACACAGTTCAGCCTAAATGATTCTTTCTTTTTTCCTGCTTTCAGTTTGTTCCATTCAGAGACTACATTGACAGATCCGGTAACCAGGTCCTCAGCATGGCCCGGCTGGCTAAGGACGTCCTCGCCGAGATCCCTGACCAGCTGCTGTCTTTTATGAAGAGCCGAGGAGTTGAACCGCGACCGGCCCTCTCCTCCTCGCCGCTGCCGGAACTACACCGACACATCTGACCCCCTTGACAGACACCTTAATTCACAGCATCTCATCACTCTATCTCTCTCTCTCTCTCGCTCGCCCTCCTCTCCTACAGTTATCTGTCGCTTTAAAGGGAGCCGAAAGATTGACCCGAGACTCGCCCCTCTTCCTCTCTTATCGCTGTTAAAGTTAAACAGGCACATCGCACCGACACAGCGGGCGCTCATCCCTGACTCACCCGCTGCTCTCCCTCATCTTTTTCTCCTCTTGAACTCGCCCTGTTGCACTTCACATTCACTGCCTTGAAAGAGCAGTGAGACCGAACCATGACCGTCCCTCTCCCTTTGACTTTTTGAATTCCACCTCCTTGCACATTTTGTCCTCGTCCTGACCAAAGTGTTGACACGAGTCACATTTGGCAGGAGTCCCAGGATGTGCCAGACACTGGATTAAATTGAAGCTAAGTCCCCACATAAACCCTGGATGAGCAGTATACAGCAGCTTGTGTTCAGGCGCTTTGGGGCTGTTTTGGACCAAGTTGGAACTGTTGTGGAGTAATTGGTCACCGTGGTGGACAGGTGTTTAGTGATTTATACTTTACTGCCGTCATTATCCTCGGGCTGTGCCAAATCTCTTGAAACTGAAATAGACGCTGCCAAACAATTAGTTTGATTCCTAAAGCAAGCGACTCCCCGAGAGGATGGAGAGGGGTGCAGAGGGAGAGATATTGCCCAAGGTGAAAGGGACAGGTGCATGCTGGGATTTTTAAAAAAGCAATGAAAGTAAGTTTTTGTAGTTTGATTCGCTCATCAATACAGTCAACAGTTAAAGCTGCAGCAGTGAGTGTGACAGCTCAAAAAGGCACATTTAAAGTTTTAAAACTATTAATGTACTTTAACCCTTTCAGGCATTGCTGCTATTTTATTGGACGAGCCGTCTCAAGCTGGGAGACAAAGTGATTGTTTCATCAGCTGAGAGTAAACCCTCCTAATGTTGTTGTCACTTTTAGTAAACTATTATTCTGTGTCTGTTTGTCAGCCAAAATCAAAGTTAATGGAGGGAAATAAAAACTAAAGACAGGACAAGGTCAAATCCAAACAGAGAGATTAAATGCAGGTCTTGTTCTGCCTCCTTCAGAACGGTAACATCGATCAAATGGGTCGTCTATTAATTAGAGATTACATTCCTAATAATGTCCAAACATCCTTGGACAAGATACTGAATCTCAAATCTTGTGTGTGGATGTGGTGAATGGTATGCAGTGTAGAGTGAAGCACCTGAGTGTTCACGTTCTCATCAGCACAGTAACCTTAAGAACATGAAGAAAATCAAAGCTCATTTCTGGGATTAAAACCCAGCAGCAACAACATTTATAAGGTTACTAATACCTTTAAAACATGGTGTCCATTGAAGACAACAGATGTGCTGCCTCTTCAAAGTATACTCCTCTTTTTTTATTGAAGCAAAAACCTTTTGGTCAGCATCTATTCTTTAAAAAGTTCTTTTAAAAAAAGATGATATGATTCATGCATGACAGGAAACATACTTATTATGTCCTGTTGCTGCGGCTCCCTCCTGGAAAATAACTTGTTTTTATTCTGAGTTACATCTGAGTCATAACTCAGTCAATTCTAAAGAAGAAACATATACATATTTTTAGATTCAGTGCGACCCGGTTACTGAGGATTGAATTATTTCCGACTCCTTAAATGTCCATAAATTGACTCATTAATCAACAAAGCAAGCGGATGAATTAGTAATGAAGGCAATAATATTCAGAGAGACTTTATGCGTTTGTGATGTGGACGTCATGCAGAGAGTAGCGGGCAAGATGTTGGCAGATCTATCGGGGGGTTCCGTTCATCATTACCATTTACACACCTTCACACAAACACACACACACACACACACACACACACACACACACACACACGTGCATTTCTTCAAACACACACCTCTCTCTGCTATGACACACCCACCCTCTCTTTTCCCAGCGGGAGCTAAGGCCGGGTGCCGATTCCCCTCCTGCTGTCAGAGAAATGCCAGTCTCTCTCTCTCCCCGGCTGCCCTGCAGAGAGGAGGAGGAGGAGGGGAGGAGGAAGGAAGGAAGGAAGGAAGGAGGGAGGGAGGGGAGAGTAAATGAAAGAGAGGTGAAGGTGGAAGAAACGGAGGAGGGGGAGAAAGAAAACAATCAAAGACGAGGCCAGGAGAGAGTGAACAGATGGATATGGACAAGGACATGAAGAAGGATGAGGAATGTCATAAGGAAAGACTGATGAGTGACAGCTGCAGATGAGAGCAACAGAGAGGAAGATTACACCTCCAAATCTTTAGTTTCTATGTCTGAGAAGTCGGTTTTTTTATGTGTTTTTTGGGGGGGCAAACAAAGAAGGATACATGCACATTCTCCGAAAAAGCAATATACCTGACTCCCAGTGTAATGTTTGCCCTATGCATGCCCCTCCTCCTCCTCCTCCTCCTCCTCCCTCCCTCCCTCCCCCTGCCCCCCTGCCATGACTTGACATTTTAGTCCCATGCAGACAGGAGCTGTGTAAAAGTGGGCAAAATCTGCCACCTAGTGCTCAACATGTGTACAGCAGGGTACCTTTTATTATGCATGACAACTGTACTTTCCTACTCTATATCTCACACAGTACAGATGCATGAACTGATGCAACTGTCCTTAAGTGGATTCAAGCGTCTAAAAATGAAATAATGTGTCAATCACACAGAAAAAAAAAATCCTCTACGTTCTTGTGTGAAATGTGATTTTTCTTTTTGTTAATGTCAGTGTGTTGATGCTGTTGTGTGTGTGTGTATATTTTTTATACTCTTATTTTTTGCATGTTGAAGAATAAATGCGTTGCAGTGTTCAAGTTGGATGTTGTTATTGTAACCGTCCAAAAAAAAACAGATACTGTACTTTCTGTATATCTTAAAGTAATATGCATTTTCCTTGTGTATGCCTGAACAGTTCATCTGTAGATTTCCTGCCGTGTTTGTTCATGCAGTCGCCATGTTCAGTAAGGAGAAACCTGTGAATTTATCAACCAAGAGACGTGTATTTTTGATAATTTGCATCGGCCTGTTCTGGGTCTGAAGAAGAAATAGACATGTGAGGTCGTGAGAGAGACTAGTGGTATGAAAAATGATTGTGACGACATTTGAAGATTGTAGTGGGGTTTTTGTACAATAAGAGTTTTCTCTCTCTCTCTCTCTGTTTTCTTTGTCTGTCTCTGATCTTCGTTGTAAGGCTGTTTCAGTGTGTGTCAAAGTGTTTAGTTCATGAGAATGAATTAGTATTAACTGTATATACAGTAAAGAAGTGATTAAACATGTTTCCCACTCAGTGTGGTCTCACAGATGTGTGAAACAAGCATGACTGTGGATGTGGTGATGGCACAAAATACACAAGAAACAAGGCATTCTTTTTCATGGTAGACTCATGCATCCTGATTTTAACCCCTTTTTTAAATAGAAGAAACAGGATTTGTTTCTGCATTAGAAAGGTTAACAATCTGATTGGACAGTCAGGAGGAAGGGGCGGGTCTTACAAACACAGACCAAAGTCATCGCTGATTTCTTTGCTTTCTGGCAAATCACTAAATATGCATAAACGATCTTCACCCAAACAATAATCTTTTTTTTTTTTTTTTTACAACAAAGCACTTTTTGTTCTTCACAGACTTTTTCACACAAGTTGTTTTCCATGTGCGACCCACCTCTGGGTCTTGCCCCACCAGTTGAGAACCACTGCACTGGACAATTTTCAAATCTTAGCCCCAGGGGGAGACCACAGACATAAAGACAGTTTCAACTGACATTTTCAAGTTACTGTTGTAAAAAAGTGTTTTCCTTGTATTATAGCAGATGCATAATGCTTTACTACTACAGATGATTGAATCAGAGCCAAAACATCTGAACTAAATTCTCTGCATTTTCACAGCTCTAATGAGACGCTGTAACTTTCTTCTTCAATGTGTAAAAATATCTTCAGATCAAAACCTCCTCCTGCACATTTATTTAGTTCATTCTTGAGCTTTTCTTTGTTTGTTTTAAATCTTTTGAAGTGAGGAATAGTTGCTCAGCCATGACATCAGGCACATTGACCAGCTGATGTTATATGTGCTCTGTCCTTCTTCTCACAGTAGGTGTTATTCTTCTAAAACAAAATGCTGATTTAGCAACTGCACTTAATTGAATGAGTGACGAGCCAGGCATGTGGGCTTTGAATTAATTGGAGAGTTATTCAGATCAGCTGGTGCACATGAGGTTTGGACTGACTGAAGTGATCACTGAGATCATTCCTGTCCAGACCAATCAGGGTGCAGATTTTGTTTCTCCACATTCTAGAGCTGATTAGACCAGTGAGGGTGAACTGGAGTAGTTAATGTTCATTGTCACAGTGAGTTGAAATGCACTGTGGTGCAAAGAGGGGAGATGCTGGGTAAGGGTGATGAAGCTCTGTGACTTTGTCCCCAGGTGAACAAATGAAAAAAATAGAGCTTGTAAATCTTTACAGTAATGACTCCAACGTGCAAAATGTCCCACTGGCTTTAGATTATCCACAGACTTCATGAAAAAGGTTTTGGGGAACAACTAAAACTTTGCAACAATGAAGTCATGTCAGTGCTTTATAACAACAAAAATGAGTTTACAAAAACATCTCTCGTCTACGGTGGCTGACGGTGGAAATACAATGTAAAAGGCAAAAGCAATATCCGTTAGGAGAAATGGGCTTCCAACTCAGAAATACATGCAAAAAGTCCAAAACAAATCCAGCCAAGCGAATCCAGCCATCACAAAGGAAGTGTGTTGTCAAATGTACTTAATTAATTAATTTGTTTTCGCTTCTGCATCGTGATTGTATGTACAGTGCCGATGCATTGTTGCATTTGTTTTAAGCTTTTTCATGTGCTTTTGAGTTTGCAGCCAGTCTCTCGTAATGGAAATTGTCAAGTTGTGTTACCATACCTGGATTACCACAACAACAACCAGATTTTAAATAAAGACCACCACTGAAAGGCTCATTTTTCAAGTCATTACTGATTTTTATCCCCCGGTTACGGCCCCAACCTTCTGTACCTGTACACAAGATGATGATTGTTATTTATGGTCTTGGTCTTGTCTTGGTCTCGTAGCCATCTGGTCTCAGGTGAGTCTTGGTCTTGGTTAGTGTGTGGTCTTGACTAAAACACTATAGGTTTAACCGATGGACTCCGACCATTTGTTGACATTTTCCATTCAAACTGACTAAAAATAGCAACTTGTTGAAAGGATGTTTGTTATGTTGGAGATGCTTAGTAACAGTATTTAAATATGAATGTACTTTAAGATAGGAACACGTCTGTCCACAGAGAATCAACAAACAGAGCTGTGTGTGTTATTTAGGTTTGCTGTTCGACTCTAAAGGGGGAGAAATGGTGACTAAACAGATCATTGCATTTGCACAGAGGAACAGTCAGTTCCGGACGTGCTGTGACAGCCTATTAAGGCTAATGACTGAAAGAGGCAGAGGAGGAGGAGGAGGAGGAGGAGGAGGGCCGGGGTGTAAACATGCTGCTAAAGGAGCTGTTTTGAAGCAGGCAGCGAAACAGGAAGAGGGATCATCCAGAGAGACCGATCGGCAGCTCAGAAAGTGAAGAAACTATAAACACGGCGTCATAGTGACAGATCCGTTCACTCAGCAGAGATGAATTCATTTTCATTTAAGCATCCAGCACATCAGTCTCCTGCAGCTCTGGACAACAACAAGCAGATCCTGAGGTCATTATGTTCCCCTTTTTTTTTTTCTTTCTAAACATTATTTTTTACGAGTATGTGGAAAGAAACAGGGAACAACATCTGGCAAAAACGTGTGTTTTTTAAAGGGACTTGAACAAACCAGGTTTTGTGGGACTTTGGGTAATAGGTCAGAGAGGCTTAGCTCAGGGAAACTTTGGGCAAATATAAGTGAAGCCTTCAAGCATGAAAAAAAGAAAAAGAAAACTGAGGCACACTTTAAATTTCAGCTTGAGGGCTGCTGGAGCTGAACAGGCTACTGTAAGCTCCTGCAGAACAGTTTGGAAGAAAATGGATTTAACTAGTGGTTTCTAACAAAGGCCAATGTGGTTTCCTCCAACATGTACTGGACCCAAGTGTAAACACAGAACCAGAGAGCTCCGCGACCCGCTAGAAAGGAACAGAAAGGACTGTGCATAATTGAAGATGACATATTTCCGCTGTACACGTTCGCAACACAAAGCAGAGTAAATAATCAAGAAGACGTAATGGTGTCAAATTTAAAAGACTCACTAAAAGCAGCAGTAGTGCCTTTCTGTTTTTTCCACTGACCTCACCGCTGAGCTGCTTTACAAAACAGCTTTTTGTTGTTGTTATGCTGTCACGGCTGAGAGGTGCTGTGGACACAGGGAAACAACCAAAGAGAAGCGGGGCCAAAGTGGGAACAATCACACGCTTTGTTAATCCTTAATGTCTCTCTAGGGACAAAGTATTTTTAAAGGTTTAGTTAAAACTTTAATATAGAGCTCTGTGTTCTCCCCCCAAGACCGGACCAAATAGAGTATACCGGTTAAAGGGGACATATTATGAAAAATCCACCTGCAAAACATATATTTGGGTAACCTGAGTGTCTACTGACCCACAAAATGTGAAATAAACCCATCCAGTCCTTTGTTTGTGGTCTGCATAAGTCTTACAACACAGAGAAAAATGCTCTGTTTCAAACTTCCCCCCTTGTGATGTCACAGTGGAATTCTGGTTAAAATCTCCTCCCCTCCCGTGTTATCTCCACCCATGGACTCCACCCCCAGCCTAGAGCAAAACTTTTGCGCAGGTCCGCCATTTTTATTCTCGCTAGCAAAGGAGTGATGTCTACCAGGAAAACTCAGGGGTGGGGGGCTCATTGCATTTAAAGAGACACACACACCAAAACGGAGCGTTCTGAGAGAGCTGGTTTATTCAGGGTCACAATCCTCCTCTGGTGCTTGAGAAACAGTTTTTAGTCTTTATGCTGTGAGCTAAACTAAGAGAATATTGGCCTTAGCTTTATATTCAGCATAGAGCAAAGAGAGTCAGATCAATCTTCTTATGGAACCTTCTAAGCACATATCCAAAAAAGTGGAACTATTTTTTTTAAATGTCTACTTCTTATGACAAATATTGTTTACACTGGAACCTCAATATATGATAAGAGTTTGTGGTTTGATGCTGGAGGACAACTTCCTCTCCTGCTGCACTTCTTACTGGAGGAGTTCTTCACTGTTTGAAACGTGGACTGATAGCTTGGCTCAAATCGTCCTCTTTAATGGCAGCTTGTTGTGCCACCAGTGCAGCAGCCGCTGTGTTAACAGGATACTTGGATGACTTTTCTCATCTTACATATTGTCCTTCTCTTGTGTCTGTTAATTCACTTTAACCCGCTCACTACTTTTATTTCACAGAGAACAGGGCAGTCTGTCAGACAATGCATACAGTATCTTTCCCATCACAGAAACTCTCCTTCCCGTCACTGCTACTCTGTGAATCCACTGACAGAACTTAAATCCATTAAAGAAGAAGCTGGCCACCATCACGTCTCTAAAACCATTTTTAGATCAGAACACACAGAGGAAGAGGAGGAGGAGGAGGAGGAGGAGGGAGAGGATATATAATCCCCCTGTTTTGGAATTTTGAATAAAGGCAAAGCTTTGTTCTGTGTGTCTGTAAACGCTTTGGATCAGGACTACAGATCCAGGACTTGGAGCGCCTTATGCTCTCTGAGGAGCATAGAGGTAGCCATGACAGCACCTCTAAACACTGCAGCCTCTGTCCTGGAAAAAAAACAAAAAAAAAACAGCCGTATCTGGGACCTGAGGAGGTTTTGGAAAACAATCGCGTTGATTACCGACTTTGGTATTACTCTTACTACGAAGCAGATCCCAGCTGCGAAAGGTCAAACCATTAAACGATCCATAAAGTCAAATGAATCCTCTCGTGGAAAATACAAAAATTCTGATTATTGCTCTGTTTCATTTCCTGTCAGAGGAGCTCCTCTTAGTCATTTTAAAGGAAACTCAGAGATCTCTGTTATTGAAAACACATCAACCAATACTACAAGTAACAGAATCTATCTAAGAAAAAAACCTAGATCGACATCTTCAGGATTAAAGCTGTGAGAGACATTCTCCTCAGACTTGATTTACACGCATGCACAAACAGGATCTGCTGTGGACGTGTGGTAAAGGAGAGATGTGAGAGTCGGGCTGCTACACAGGGAGCGAGCCAGAGCCATGCAGGGTTTGATGCTTTGCTCAAGGGCTACCTGGCAGTACCTGTGAAGTGACCTGGTACCTCCCTCGCCACCAGACC